CATATCGTCTAGAATTTTTCCGATCTATAGGAGTCAATCTTCGGCAACTATAGGATCACTATCACCTTTGAATGCAAGTGGCTTGAAAGACTGAAATATCTTCAAGTATCGATCCACTTCTACCCGAGTTTCAGATCTGAGCCTGTAGTGGTGAAGAATCTTTCGATAGCAACCATTTTATCAACTACTTGTAATATTAACTGCACTATGCCATGTAACTCAGCAGTTCTGGTTTTTGCATTTTTCTTGTTCTGACTTGCAAAAAATAGTTTCAGCTCTAACTTTGTGCTCCGCACTTGGCCTAAAAGACTGGTCTTTCGTACTTTCATATTCTTCTCCAAACATGTTTATTTATATTGCACTAAGTGTTATTTAAATGCAATTTATCATATACAAATTTTATCTCGCACGTGTGACAACTTAAGTCATAAGAGTTACTCACACCAGAATCAACTACCAATAGCTCTGTATAAATCAATTCTTATTTGATCTCATTCTTACTTCTAAATCCAACATGCTTTCATCATTCTCTTCATCCAATAACCATGCTCTGATACCACTTTCTATCCCACCCCAACTAGCCCCCCTGGAAGGGTCAAACGTGGTGCGATAGAGGCTGACAATTTGGTCAGACCAACTCTCACCAGCAACTCTCACCAGCACTCGTCCCGTCCTGACTTTTATAATCAGAACTCAGTGGGTGATGAATTAGTCTAACTGGATTGTCGCAACATACATGATACATTACATTTCAAATACATACTTAGAAGCATGGTAATCATATCATCTGAAATATGAAAACTATACAGAACTATTAAATCCAATATAATAAAAATATATAATCCCAAAACATATATACAAAGCTCCAAAAATTATCAAGTAAAAGCTATACCAAGGCGCAGTTGGCTACTCGCCACGGTGCTCCTTACCTCTATTTGGAAGGCAACAATGAATAATGAGCAACAACGAGCTTAAAAAATAATCAAGGTTAACATAAAGTTTTATACATGAAAAACAAACGTGCTTGCTCTTATAAAACTATACATGTCTACAACAAATCAAAACATGCTAGCATAGATGAAAACATGCAAAGATAGCAGGTACAAGTAGCATAGAAATTAACAGTAGTGAAACATGCAAGTAATAAGCACAAAATCATAAATAAAAGCATGTTCATAGCATATTATCTTAGCAATGTCATTTTATAGAGGTCATATCATAGTGGTGTCACTATTTTAATGTATAAAGTTCAACTATTTTTATATTCTTTCATCATAGGTTGTCACTCTGTCATAAAGGTCATATAAACAATCAATAAAGATCGAGTTTTTCCCAACATAGTAATTATCGGCAACCCCTCTGATACACGGTTCTCTAAAGTACTGTCACCATCTAATCTCAACGGTTTCTAGAGTTTCGTCCCTGTATAAATATCAGGAGGTGTGAATACTTTATCTCTGCATGATGTGCATGCAAGCACTCATGTAATAGTCTATCACCCTAACATTTAAATCATCATTACTGTATCAAGCATAAGGCATTACATGTATCATAGGCTTGAAGAACAATAAATGAAGACCTGCAGGGAATTCATATCATTAACATTGTCATATGTAGCATTGTCTGCTCATAGCATTACATGTATCGTAAGAAAAGTAAACATGTATTCATACATTCAATTGCATGAATCCATTCACAATATGCAGATATTCTAAATGAATCTGTATCAAAATATAAATTATATGAAACCTATAGAAAAATACTTTTCTTAAATTAACACAAGAATATTTCACCTGACTTGACGAAACAGCCCTAAGCCGAAGTGTCTACACGCTCGTCTCGAACATGCTGCCTCGTACAGACAACCTAGAGCTTGTAGACAACATAGGAATTCATAAAATTTGGCTCAAAACATGAATTAACGCATAAAGATATTTACTCCCCAAAACATACCTCAAAAGGATTTTTCGACATAAATTTACCTTTTCCAAAAACACCAAATTCCTTCCCAACTCTTCTAACACCTTAATTTTCACTTTCCCCTTGCTAATTTAGTGTTAAAACTCCTATGGAAGCTTTCAATTTGCTTTTGAAGCTTCAGATACAATTTTGTCGCCTCCGTTGGCAACCGGAAAGAACCGAGATTCGTGCTTACGAAGTCACGTCGGAATCCTAAATTGTACTCTGTGACTCCTAAGAGACCGCTCGGTTCGCTGCTACCCGCGGCCCTTACACTGTAGCAAAGGTTGCAGCTCCCTCGCCTGGTTCTGTCGCGCGAACCAAACAGGGAGAAGGGAAGTTCGAGAGAGAGGAGAAGGAATAGGGGAGGAAAATCAAAGCTATATGCTCCTATTCGACCAATCGAAAAGCATAAAAGGGCCTAATTCTGTTGGCTACAGTGAACATGCGGGAGATTAAGGAGAGATCAAGGAATAATTAAAATTTAATTAAAGTTAATTAAATTGAAAACTTTCAAATTTTATATCTCTCGATTTGTTCATTATTCATGCATGGTGCTTTATATCGAATTGCTCTATTTCAAGCATAGAATTTAATAAAATTAGTTTCAACAAATTTGGGGAGATGAAAAATTTTGGGGTACCTTTAAATTTGTCAAACTTACTTGACTTCTCAAAATTTGGGCATTACAATATGCTCTCTACTCCCACTCGTAAGCTATCACTCACCAAACGATTCAACACCCCACAATTCACTCACAACCTCATCTTTATTTCTCAACTTGTTTCTAAGAATAGTTGTATCATTCTTTCTGATGCCTTCGGTTGCCAAATTAAGGATCACACAACTCAACCAACACTACTTTAAGGCCCCTGTCGTGAGGGACTTTATCCTATTCCCATCCGCAAGCAAGGCATGCTCTCAAGAACTACTACAGCTAACGTCTAGCACCACAGACTCGGTCATCATCATAGCAGCATCCTTCGTAATATCGCAAATCAGCATCCGCATCTTCAAATTCCTAGTTATAATTCCTTTTGTAATTCTTGCATTACAACAAAAAAACATAGATTAGCATTTATACCTTCTAGTAATCATACATATCTTCCATGTGAACTTATTCATTCTTATGTATGGGGGCCATACCCGCATACTACTAATCAATGTTAACAATTCTATGTAATTTTTGTTGATGCAACCAGATATACATGATTATTTCCTATGATTCATAAATCTAAAACTCTTAACTCATTTTATTAATTTTCACCATCAAGTTGAAAAGTAATTCAACGTCCCTAACAAAATCCTAAGATCCGATGATGGCAGGTTATACAAGAACCATCAGTTTAATGAATTCTTGGCCAAACAAGGCATCATTTACTAGTAGTCATGCCCCTACACACTCCAACAAAACAGTCTATCACATAAGCAAAATGACAAACTTTACTTGCCACCTCCAATCTACCACTAAAATTTTGGCCTGACACTATACTCACAGGTGTTCATCTTATCAACAGGATGCCTTCCCCCAACACCGGCAATACCACTCCATATCAACTCCTGTACAAACAGCCACCTGCATATGATAATCTGCGATCATATGATTGTGTATGCTTCCCTTAGCTTCCTCCAGCACTACACACCAAACTTGACCAACGATCCGAGCAATGTGTCTTTCTCAGGTACCCTGACAATTTCAAAGGCTACAAATGTCTTCATCCTCCCACCGGCAAAGTTATCATATCCCGACACGTCATGTTCAACAAACTATACTACCCCTATAAACAACCTCAACACCAACCAAGTCCCTCCTCACCTCCGGCAAATCCGGCGCCAATTGCACTCCTTCCCACTTCCCTTCCCTTCTGCTCTACACAAACTGCATCACAACTCCCACACTATTCTATCCAGCTCAACTCCACATTCTCAAAATCCCCAAACATATCGTCTTCCCTAAGTGATCCAACCCCACACCCAACTGTACCGTTCCCATTAGCTCCCCCCATCCGGTTACCTTACAACCACTCAATCCAAAACAGGATCTCTCAAATATAAGCAAATATTCACCCTCCAGCACTCCATCGCTACTGAAATGGAACCTTGCAATTTCAAAGATGCCACTTGGCATCCTCAGTGGCGAGAAGCCATGCAAGTGGAACTAGATGCTCTCCGCAATCAGAAAACCTGGATAATTCGAGGTCAAATACATGATGATGGCTAAGTACCTCAACAAAGCTAAAATGGAGATAAAAAATTTTGAAGGCTTCAAGTTGAGCGCATAGCCCGAGAGGACAACCAAGTAGCAGACTTACCATCCAAATGCATCCGCTTGTTGGAAGGGATGCCTCAAAAGCTTATCCGACCGACTACCAAAGAAGCTAAAGCGATGGAGTTGGAAACCAAATGGCCAAATAGTTGGTGGATCCTTACATCGTATACTTTGAGACAGGGAATCTCAGAAGAAGTTACAGACCCAAAACACTTCAAAATCAAAGCAGCCCAATCAGATTCATTGAGTGAAGGTAAGAAAATATTTATGTGCTAATGTTTATTATTAAATGAAAATTTATATTTCATGCACTATTATAATTATTCTATAATGGCCTAATTTTTTTTCTTTTGCATTGGAATTTTAAGATTAAATTTTATACTGAATAAAATAAATACAAAAATCAATCTTAAGATCCTTTACATAAGAAAAATAATGTATGACCACTGTCTTAGTAAAGAATTTAAAAATAAACTTGCATCCCCATAAAATATGAAGCTCATCTCTAAAATTGCTGAATATGTTTTTTTTTTTCAAATTGCCGTATAACGCCTTATTACAATGATATCCGTGAATTGTTGGGGTTGCTTTCTCGTGCATTCTTATTCAATCGAGAAAACTGAAATGCTGCAAAAAAGACAATAAAATGAGCAACAAGAAACAGCCTCTAAAAAGCACAAATCCTTTTATCAATTAATTATTGTATACTCCAACATTTAAAAACAAACAAAATTAGCGCAGGAAAATAGGAGAAAATAAATTAAACGCTGACCTTTCCCTTAGAGATGCTTTTCATGCCCTCAAAATCTACCACAACATGAGCGCATGTCAGGATAGTGCCATCCGAATCAATGATAGTTCCTGATCCCTTACTCTTTCCAAGAGTCAAACCGTGAATGCCTATTATGACGGTACCCATCAATAAAAAGAAAGACATGACAGAGTACCACTAATGAAAAACCAAAGGGGCATTTACGTAAATACCAGACAATTCTTATATTTACATATCTAACATTTAAACTTTCATAATTACATGCTTATCACTCAAATTTTTAATACCGCATCAAAAGTACCAATATTCCTAACTTTTTAAAAGTAAAACTCTTTTCATGGTTAGGTTATAACATCAAAATGCTATAAATGTTATTATCAAACTTTAGAAGTTAGATATATAAATACATAAGAATTTTGCCGTGTGTATGTAAAATTCCCAAAACCAAATAAAACAAATGATGAGTCACCTCTTGAAACGGATATATTGACAACCGAGGGACCTGCAGTGGCAGCAGCATTAGCAATAGCATCTCTTCCCAGACATCCTGGGCCACACCTAACTTCAACCTCATCTCCTCGAGATTCTTCCTTTTTTGAATTATCAGGTGAAACAGAACCAATCCCAAAAGAAAAGGAGACTGGATATGAAGTATGGAAAAAATGAATTCCTACTTATCATAACAATAAGTTATAAACAGAGAAATGAAACATATAAGAACCTCCGACGGGACTAGAGAAGAGGAACGAAGAAGCAAAACCCTGCAATGCAAAATCTGTTGGATGGAAGAAGAGTTGACGAAGAATGGGGGTAAAAGAAATCGGTGCTCCTGAGGAAACAAAGTATAGTTTTTGGATTAAAAAAAATGTATGCAATAAGAAACTAAGTAGGACGGAGTAACTCATACGTGTAAGAGAAGAGTTATTTTCATCCAAGGAGTCAGAGGTGGCAGCTAAAATGATGATTCCAACAGCAGCGCATCGACGAGAGGTGTGGGAGACAACGTGGCGCAGCATAATGAGCTCTGAGTGAACGAGCAGAGAACTTTAAGAGCTTTATATGCTATGGTGGTTGAGATTTAAAAATTCAAGTGAAATGCTATAAATAGAAGATTCGTGTTAGAAAGTGCCACTAGAAATTGTTGATTTTGATTTGGGAATAACTACAATTAAGCTATTATTTCAAAACCAGATGATGGTTTTACTTGTTTGGTTGTAACATCTTATATATGCGATTAAAAGACAAAAAGACTGAAGTGCCAACAAATAACTTTAGGGGCATTTACATATAACACCTAATTCTTATGTATTTACATATCTAACACCTAAACTATGTTTTTTTTTTATTTTGACCACCCAAATCTTTCCTATCACATAAAAATACCACCTATTTAACGTTTTAAAGTGAAATACACCTTTTCATGTATAGGCAAGGTGGTATGTACGTAAAAATTGAAGTTTAGGTGTAAGATGTGTAAATGGATAAGAAAGAGAGAGTGTTATTTATGTAAATCTTCCATAAATATAGTATTATTTACACAAACAAAAATGCTATGTAAATAATTTATTATGTCTATTAAAATAAAAAATAATACCTAACTACAGATTTTTATAGATGGAAAATATTCAATTGATAAGAGGCTTTCTTTCCGCTAAGCAATGATCTATTAAAATGTACTTTAGCATAGAAATTGTAAAGAAACAAAGAAAACGATAAATGTGCTATAGTTGCTGTGAAAAGTATGAAATATTTCATTTAGTGCGATATACTTCAACGCCATAAGTAAATCCATATTGAGCATGCTTTAATTTCACAAAAAATGTGAATTTTGATAGTATTCAAACCTTTATGAAGGTTAAAAAAAAACAAAATGATTTGAAAAATTAGAGGTGTTATATTGGAGAGTAAACAAGCGCAACAAGAGTAGATTATGCACAAAAACTATCATATCAACAGTTTTCAATTCCATCAAATTGAAAAAAATCTCATAATGCTTAACAAAAATCAACCTTGTTGGATAATGTTCCAACATTGCCCCAACTTGGGAAGTATATCCTATCCAAGTCATAAATATCTTTCTTGGTTCGCAATGCTCATAGAGAAGGATTGGGTTGGGATGGGGAAGAGATATTTTATCATTATATAATTACATAAAAGCATTAAGGATATATATGTCCATAGAACTTTGCAAATGATGAATCTCGCCATCACATTTAGGTGATAAACAAGATGCACATAAATGAACGAAGACATGATCAATTTGTATGCCTTTTTGATTGTATGTGCTTATTAATGTTTGGATTTTCTTGTTCAACCTCAGCTTGCCAATAAAGTTGTTCTTGAGTTAGAACATTACATGCATAAACAACAATGGAAAGGAATTATGTTAAGTGAGATTTAACTTGTAAGGGCTTTTTTTTATTGTTTTTGCTTATTAATTTTTTATTCTCTTGTTCAACCCCGGCTTGTCAATAAAGTTGTTTTTGAGTCATAACATTACAAGCATAAACAACCATGCAAAGAAACCATATTAAGTGAGATATAATTTGTAAGAGCATGTTCATTTTACAGGATAAGTTGAATCGACTAATGTGGGTTCAAATAAACCAACTATTAGTTAGTTCATTTAAAAGGGGGGAGATGGAGGAGACGCATAGAGCGGACAAGCGGATGAGAAGAAAGGAGAGTGAGAAAGATCAAGCAAGCGAACTACAAGATGAAAATGTGAGAGATCAAGCAATCAAGTGGCTATGGTGATCAAGACCACAGCCAGGCGAGGTTGGGCAGCAGTGCAAACATGCAGGCAGGAGGATGCAACGTCGATTGAACCATACAACAGTGTATCACGGCTAGGGCTTACCCCTTCTTTTCTACCAGATCACAGATAACCTAAATTTTTATCTCCAAATAGATAAGCCTTGGATACAGTTATATATAGTTATTAAATTTCTAAACAATTCTTCAAGGTTTTGTATTAAGAAGGAGAGTGAATCTAGAGTAGGAAACGGGAAGAGAGAAAAGAGTAAGCAAGGTTTGCATAAAGTTAGAAAATGAAGAATTTTATCTGATATTAGAAATTCAAAGTATAATAAAATATTTAAAAAATATATTATGAATGAAGATAAGTAAATTAATTTGTGTGAATGTACCATATGTGATTTTTTGGTATTGAGCTGAGGAGTTAATTAAGGATTAATATTGAAGTAGAATAGTTAGCTCTCCCAAAATTTGAAGCGGGTGCTCATTTTTTTTTAAATTATAGTAATGATATTGTTCGTCTAAATTAAATGCATTGAATGATATTGGCACTGGTTATTACAAATTCACCTATGATTTATATACAAAAACAACAACAAAACCTTTATCCCACTAAGTGGGTCGGCTACATGAATCTTTTTTCTCTATTGCGTCCTATTTGGTGTCATATTTTAATTTAATTCTAATAAATTAAGATCATTTTTTATACAATATGCTCAAGTCACCCTAGGTCTACCTCTGCCTTTCTTAACATAAGTCGAATCTAAGACATTTAGTCTTCTAATCGGATCATCAGATGGTTGATGTTTAATGTGACCAAACCATCTAAGACAACTCTCTCTAATTTAGTCCAATCTTCAATTTTCACATCTTTCATTGAATTAATATAATTTTAAATAAAATTGCAAATTAATAACATGATTAAGTATTTCACTATACTTAGATTATCTTTTGATTTTTTTTAAGCGCCAATATCACTTATTTCTTATAAATGATTGTGAAATAAAAAGTACTCCAAATTCAATAGCTTTTTGTCCATTTAATTGTTAACATTAATATCTTTATTATCATTTTCAATGAAGGTTCCACTTCAACCAACCAACTTGAATTCTTCTAATAATATCCCCATCAATATCACCATCACTTTGACCAATAGACCCGAGATATCTAAAACATTCACACCTTTTAATAATTTGATCATCCATAGTTAAATTTCTATCACTAGAGCTACTTTACATTCCATGTATTTCCATGTATTTAGTTTTAGTTCTACTCAAGCGAAGGCCTTTAGACTCCAAGGTAGACCTCCATAATTCAAGTATTTACAGAGCCTTTTCTCTCGTCTTATCCACGAGAAGGATATCATCAGCAAAAAATATACACCAAGATACATCCTCCTATAAGTGTTCAGTAAGATCATCCATAACTAAAGCAAAAAGATATGGGCTTAAAGCCGATCTCTGATGTAAACCAACATAAATAGGAAAATATTTGGTCAATCCACCTTCTGTTTAAACACAAGTAACACTTCTTTAATACATATCTTTAATGCTTGAATATAAGTCATATCAACACCTTTCTTCTCAAGAACTCTCCAAAGGATATCTCTTGGAATCTTATCGTCAGCTTTTTCTAAATCAATAAAAATCATATGTAGATCTTCCTTATTTTCTTCGAACTTCTCTATCAAACCTCTCAATAAATGTATAGCTTCTATAGTAGACCTGTCAGGCATAAATCCAAATTGATTATGAGAGAACTTTCTAATATGTCTTAACCTATGTTCAATTACCCTCTCCCATAATTTTAAAGTATGACAAATCAACTTAATTACTTTATAATTGGCACACTCTTGTGCATCCCCATTATTCTTAAAAATGGAGACCAAAATACTTTTTCTCCACTCCCCAGGCATCTTTTTAGTTTTTAAAATAATATTAAAGAGTTTAGTAAGCCAAGAAACTCCCAAATCTCCTAAATATTTCCACACTTCAATTGAGATATCATCAGGTCCTACAGACTTTCCACCATTGATTTTCTTCAAAACTTATTCAACTTTTTTTTACTAATGTGCCGATAAAAAAAAACACTTTATTATTATTAAAAATATTAATATCACTAAGGTCGATCGTATTATCCGAAACTTCATATTTTTCGAAACTTCATTAAAAAGTTTATCAAAATGACTCACCCACCAATTTTGAATATCTTTTTCAAAGAAAAAGCACTTTTTGATTTCCATCTTTAATACACATTACTCGAGTTAAATCCTTACTTTTCTTTTCTCTTTGTTTGGTTACTTAATAACTATATTTTTCACCTTACTTACTATCTAATATGTTATAAAGATCACTAAACGCAGAAATTTTAGCGTCAAAATTGTTCTCTTAGACTCCCTATGAGCCGTTTGATATTTTGTCCTAGTTCTCTAAGCTTTTACATTCAAACCAATTTTTATAACATAATTTTTTATATTTAATCTTTTTTTGCACATTATTATTCCACCACAAACTATTATTATTTATAGAAACTTTTCTTTTGATTCTTCAAGTACAAATTTCGTCACTTGTTTAATAGTTTTTGTTACTTTATCCCACATAGAATTTGTTTTTTCATGAACATCCCAAATTTTGAAATCTTGAATTTTACTCATAAAAATAATTTTGTTCGTGTATTTTAGGTGTCCTCATCTAATTCTACGATAATATTTCCTAGTATTTTTTTTATTTTACAACTTTTCATCCTAAAATCTAGAACTAATAATTGATGTTGAGTACTTAAATCCCCACTTGGAATGACCTTACAAACTTTACATTCTCGACGATCTCTTCTTCTCATAAAAAAATAATCAATTTATGTTTTATTACATCCATTCTTATAAGTAATAATATGCTCATATCATTTCTTAAATAAAGTAATAGCAATAACAAAATCGTACACTAAAGCAAAACCTAATATAGCCAAACTTTCTTCATTAATCACTCCAAAGTCGTAGTCACCACGAATATTTTTAAGATCTTCTACACTACTGAAATGACCATTTAAATCTCCTCCCATAAAAATTCTTTCTTCAAGAAGTATCATTTGTATTTAGTCTTCTAAATCAATCCAGGAATTATCTTTAGAACCTATATCTAAACCTACTTGAGAAGCATAAGCATTTACAAAATTAAAAATCTTAGTATCAATAATAATCTTAAGGGCTATAATTCTATCTCCAACTCTATTAATTTTTACAATATTATCTTTTAAACTCTCACCTATGATTTATATCTATCATTAAAAACATAGTCATGTTGAAATGAATGAGAAGGTAACATTTATGCTTCGATTGTTTATATTAGGTGCATTATAGAAAGATATTAAATAATATGGAAAAATGCAAATAAAATCATCTATACATTAATGTTTGCAAGTATATATTGATTGATAAACTTCACCTCCTTATGATACTAACTTATGATACTAACTGGAGATATACTCACGCATAAAACAATTGCATGTTCTCTTTCCTAGAAAGAAATATTGATATTGATGAATCTCAAACGATACAATGAGAAAATGCTCCTATGGCAATAGTATTATAAAATAAAATGTGATATGTTTTCCCTGGTTCATGTTGTTAATTTATAATATAATGTTTCAAATCCATTTTATATTTTCATCTTTGAATAAAATGAAACGGTCTATGAGTTTCTGTTAATTCATGTATGAGGACTAGCATATGTATTGTTTCTCAATTTTTTTATATTACTGTGATTTTGAACTATGATGATTAGCCTACTGAGAAATACCATTTTGTGTTTATAACTTGCAATTGTTACCCGAGCAAACGAACAACCTCACTTGAGTTCAAGCAGCCATGACACATGACTGAAACATGAACATACCCTCACAAGTAACACATAAAAGAGCGTATATCAGATTTTGCTACAATCAAATATTATGAGATGCGTTTTGATTCAATAACAACTTTATAATAGCTCCTTCGTAAATTAAGGCACGTGCGCCCGGCTGAACGAACAAAAAACCTCGCTTGAGGTTGAAGGACCATTACACACCGACTGAAATATGAATGTATCCCTCACAAGTAACACATAAAAAGCACGCATTAGAGTTTGCTGCAATCAAATATAATGAGACAAATGCGGATGCAATAATTAGTGTATGACAACATCAGCAAGAATTGTAAGTGATTAAAAAACCATTAGACAAATTGGGCAATTGACTTGTCGTACAATACTGCGACCTCCCAAATGATATGAAATGCACTCTAGCAGAGGTGATTGTGTGAGCAAGATCCAGCGAAGATCTAGGCTTGCCCGGGGTAAGAGGGAAGGCGGAGGCTGAGCGTAAATCACCGGGAAGGGAGGAACGATTGGCGAAGCTGGGGCTGGTCAAATTGTGAGAGAAAGAGAACCGCAGTGTGCTGGGCAAAAACCGAAGAGATACGATGGGTCCTCCGTTCGTGCGTACTTCTGCCGAAAATCGGAGAGGGCTAGCGCGAGGGCGTTTTTCTAGTTTATATATATATATATATATATATATATATATATATCACCATATCTATGCATAAAAAATATATTTAATTTAAAAAATATTACCATAGTGATATTTTTATACAATAGAAAAGATTTAATATAAGACATAATAATAGAAGTGTTCCAAATGATCATCATTGTCTTGTACTTTGTTCTGTACGAATGATATATCATCTTGTAGTTTTTGTGCACAATCAACCATAGTATCCAAGCTAACTGGAGGACGAGTAGAAGCACGAGAAGTAGAAAGAATGTCTGAAGAGCTAGCTCGAGTTCTCACGTCATTCTCATTTCACTTATCACGAAATAAAAACTTCTGGTCTTTCACTTCAAGTCATTCGCGATGATCAATTGATTTCTCACAAAATAAAAATTATTAGTTTTTTAAGTCAAGTCATAAATGATGTCCATTTGACTTCTCACACCTATATAGGATTTACATTTATTTGAGTTAGGAATTTATGCTCTTTTATTGATCTAAACTTTGATGGAATTTATCTTATTTGACTTAGGAATTTGCACTATTTTGCAACTACAAATTTTAATTATGTAATTAAAGTTAAATTTTGATTACATTCTTAATTTTATTTCTTAATGTTGATCATTTCAATGTTCACTTGCTAATATTTCTTTATATTATTTAGACAATAATAATAACTATTTTTTTATTTTAGAGGAAAAACACAACATCGAATTGATTTTCCACACAAAAAATTAAAACTAATATCATATAAAAAATATCATTATTTTAAATTAAAAGAACAAAATACACATTTTCATACCAAAAAAAAAAATTGGGGTTGAAATTCAAAGAACTACATCACCCCCTCATTTTGTGTGAATGGTCAAATTTCTTAAGTACAAGTTTAGCAAAAAAAACTAAGGGAGAGAGATTCAATTCAAAATGTAGTTATATGTGTAATATTGCTAAGTCATCTGCTACTCATATAATAGCACAATATGAATGCCAAACCTTAATATTATTGAATATATAATTGTGTCAACTAAAAAAATAATTATATTATTCAGAGAATAAATGGCAACTAATTTTTATTTTAGGGGTAAAACACGACATAGACTTGGTTTTTCATCCGAAAATTAAAATTTGTATCGCATCAAAAATATTATTATTTTAACTTGAGAAAATTGAAATACATGTGCTCATGTATAAATAAGATGATAGAAATGTAAATACATAGAAATTGAATGACATGTATGTGGATATTTATTAATATAATGCATAAGCTACTAATATTTTTGGTTTTAAGAGCTTATTCTTTTTTGAGAAACAATCTATTATTTTGATAACTTATTTATGTTTAATTTAATTTTTTACTATTATTAATTGATCAATATAATGCAAGTGCTATCATTGAGTATTTTATTTTCCTTATATATTTTTTATTATGTAAATTTATTAATTTATAAAATTTATGAGTAAAGCAAATTCATCATCCACATGCTATAGCATATATCTTTTCATCAACAAAACTAAAGGCATTGACTATGTTATCTTCTTTCTAATTGAAGTGTTTCGGAAGGCTGACGACAGTAGAGTAATAATTTAGTAGACTAATGTTGAAAGAACATCGATCATACACACGGATAAAAGAAAAGCAAAAAGGAAGAGAGACATCTATTTTTATGTGAAAAAATTTAGAAAGAGAAAAAAATCATGGGGTCTGGCCCAATTGAAATAATAGTTATGTAATTATGTACATGGGTCCACTTATCTCCAGAATTAGGGGAGATGAAGTTACAAATTTGATATATAGTAATATTTCAGTAATAATAGTTATAATAAGCCGTTATGACTATAGTCGATGGTTATGGAGGCAGCAACCCACTATGAATGTTGTTGATAGTGATCATAGTGTCAGCTTATATTAGAAGTTCTAGTTGAATGTCGTGGTAGTAGTTGTCTATGTAGATCGTAAATGATTGCTTCAGATGTGTCGTTGGCTAAGGAGATTGTAGTAGGGGATTGCAAGAGTCATGGGCCATGTAGGGCATAACACTAAATTGTTATGATATCTGTAAGCCATAGAGGTCAAAATGGGGAGCCTCATGCATTGGGGACCACGTAGGCCGTAGATCTGTGATTTGCGAGGATGTTTGTAGGCCGCAAAAAATAGAATCAGGAGTTGCACAAGCTATGAGTCATGTAGGTCATAGTTGGTCATGTAGATAGTAGTGGTAAGTTGTGATGACGTCCATTGGCGACTAAGGTCAGAGTCAAGGGTTATATGAGTTATGAGCCACATAGGCCTTGATTGGTTACGCATGTCATAGTGGTGAGTTGTAATGATGTAAGTAAGTCGTAAGGGTCGGAGTCGGAAGATGCATAAGCTGTGAGTCGCATAGGTCATAGTTGGTTAAGTAGGTTGTAGTAGTGAGTTGTAATAACATTTGTTGACCGCATAGGTCAGAGCCATGAGCTGTATGAGTTGTGAGTCATGTATGTCATAATTGGTCACTACGTCATAGAGGTGAGCTGTGATGATGTCAGCAGACCATCGGGACTGGAGTTGATAGCTATAACATCATCCGTAGGTCGCAGAGAATGGAGTTGGGAGCTTTGTGAGTTGTGATCCACGTAGGTCGTGGGCCATAATGGTGAGTTCTGATGGTGTTTGTTGGTTGCATTGGGCTTGAGTAAAGAGTTGCATGAGCTGTGGATAATGTATGGAGGTCGCAGAGTCCAAAGTTGGAAGTTGTATAAGCCAAGACAACATTTGTAGGCCACAAAAGCAAATTTTGGGAGTTATACAAGCCGTGATAACAATTTTAGGTCAAATAAGTCGAAGTTAGGAGCTGCATGAATCAGGATAACATTTGTAGGTTGCAAAGGCTAGAGTTGAGAGTTATAAGAGCTAAAACAATATTTGTAGGTCATAGAGGCTGGAGGAGGGAGCAGTATAATCTATTTTAGATGCTAGAGTTGGGACCTGTCATAACACCCTTAGGCAATAGAGGTCGAAGTTTGAAGATGCACAAGCTGAGATAACGTTCATAGACCACAGAGGCTGGAGTCACAAGCTGCATGATTTGTGGACCACGTAATCCATAATTAGTCATGGTAAGCGTAGTGGTGAGACACGAAGAGTGACTTTCAAGAGTCCATAAAGGTCACTGTATTCTCAGTATGACAATTACAAACCATTGTTGTGGGGTGCGTCATTGCACCGTATTTGAGATGTGTTATAACATCGTCTTTTGGGTTTATAATTACACAATTTTTGGGAAGCATTGTTGCACCGCATGCAGGGCTCATCATTGCACCTTAAGCGAAGCATGTGGTTGCAGAGTATTGTTACAGCATCTTTGGGTTGTAATGTTGCATGATGTTTTGGACGAAGTGCTACTCTGCCAAGTGCTTCACTGTTTTTCAATGTACACTAGGATTCTGTAACGCAAGTTGTGACTCCATAAGGGATTTTGTCGCAACAAGAAGGTGCCGACCAATAGCGGTCGACAATAACCGACGAGCAATGGTCAATTGTGATTGGTGGCTATGGGAGAAGGAAACGTTCGTTGGATCTTTAGTGCAAAAACAACACTCTGCTTCAACTCCTCCCAATTAGAGGTGTGAATGAGTTGAGTCGAGCTCGAGCCACCCTCGGCTTGAGCTTAAACTTGATTAATTTTATCAAGTTCAAGCTCAAGCTTGATCTCAAATCTACGAGTTCGAGCAGCTCGTGAGCCAACTCGTTTATTATAAAAGAGAAAATAATATTAATTTAAGGCAGTGTGAAAATAAAATAATATAAAATAAACAATTACGAGAGAAATAATAAGAAATTACTTAATATAAATACAAAATATTATTTTTTAAACATTTTTAATACTTAAAATATAATGCTCTGATCCTTCTTCATGCCCAAGTCTCGGTCTAGTTTCTCTCTCAAAAAGAGGGTGTGACTCTATTTATAGAGTCTAGGAGAGGCCTACCATAGGTAAGAAAGGAATCCAGACCATTTCATTGGATGACTGGAGAGGTTCCCTAAATCGGATGAAGTTTTTGTGGACGTTTGAGTTTCTTGGTGATGTCATAACTGAGTGGCCTTGGGCTCCTTTGGTTCTTGTCGAGACACTCGATTTGACTATAAGCTTGTCAGATTTGGAATTTATTTGACAGTCAATTGGGCACCAAAATCTTCTAAAAATGGTTTAACGGATCGATCTAGGCTTAAATTTACTTGGATTAGGTCAATGTTGGTGTCGTTACATCCTTCTCATCAAGTCAGTCAGTTTGACTCTAAGTTTTTTTTGAAATCGGAGTTCTCGATGATTTTTAATTTAAATTTGAACATTTATTGTTAAAAAAATTATCTTGAGGTTTACGCCGAGTCACTAGAACCGTCTCAAATGTTGAAAATTTTGTTGACGACATACCAATAATGCTCTCATTGGATTTTTTATTTTTATTTTTTATTTTGTTTAATCGTAAATTTATTACATTATAAAATTATGACATAATATTTATCATAACATGATTTTTTTAATTCCCTTATTCCATCTGATGGTAATTGAAAAGCTTGTCACTTATTTAAATTTTATATTCCCTTACTGCTTGAGGATGATCCTTATGTGTGATAATTTTAAATGTCAAAATATATAAGTTGGATGTATTTAAATTTAAGCTTAATTATATTATCTTTAGACATAATTTTTTAACTTGAAATAACTCATAGTTCATTTTTGCTAATATTATTTATTGGTGCTTTAAGTCAATTACCCTTATTTATTTTTTATTCCATTATGATAACATTTTATTTATTTTTTTACAATTTTTTTTGTGTATTTGAAATTACATTTTAAATATTTATATTATTGATTAATTTTAATTTCACATTCTTATTCATGTGCACATGATGATTTGATTATATTAAATTTTATGTCAAAGAAAATATATTTTTCCTAGCATCTTTTTCTTTAAATGAAATGGCAACTGGCTAAATATCATTTTAA